TCGGTGTGACAGGGAAGGTGGTAAGGGAGGGGGTTGTCTCATGTACTTTCTGAATGCACTTACTGTATCACAGCTAGAAAGTAGTACACTTAACATGCCTGAGACTCTATGGGTTAATGTACACTTAAATAACGTAACAGCATTAATTGGATGCACCTACAGAGCACCTGGCACCTTTAGTAATTACGAGACCCAACTTATTAATACTCTGGAGCAATTAACCGACTTACAATACGATCATAAGATCCTATGTGGGGACTTTAACTTACCTGAAATCAACTGGGATATACCCACAGGTCCAACTAAATTTGATAAGTTCTTAGGCACACTGGATATACTTGGCTGGAAACAAACTGTCACTACTCCCACAAGAGGTAACAACGTACTAGACTTAATCTTCTGCCACAATATAAGCCCCCTTTCAACGCTAGTAGGTTCTGAGTTCCCAGGGAGCGACCACAAAACAGTAATGTGTGCACTGCCAATTCCGCTGAGTAGCAATGCATCTCATACCTCCACTTCACAACAAGTAATATATAGGAACTATAGTAAGGCAAACTGGGCCTTAGTTGAATCGATGCTAAGATCCTCCAAATGGGATGAATACTTCACTACTGATGACCTATCGAGAGCCCTAACCATCTTCTACCATAACTCAAACATATGCTTAGATGCTGTCATTCCACTCCAAACACTAAAGGTTTCCCCACACAGAAAGTCATTCATAAAACCAAAGGATCGTAAGAAACTGAAGAAACTCTCAACAAGTTACTTCAAACACCACGACTTTGGCACTCTAGGTCTAATACTTAAAACCCTTAGCTCCATCACACAAGCTCAAGATTTCCGTATGAGAAAGGAAGAACGCATCGCAGTAGCCAGCCCTGCTAGAGTGTATGCACTCACAGAAATCTTAAGGAAGCGAATGAATCGCAAAAATCACAGCATTTCTCTCCTCATAGACAAAGGCAGGCTATGCACTAACTCTGCAGACATATGTGAACTATTCAACAAAACGTTTGCAGGTAACTACCTTAAGCCCTCAGTCCAGCTACTCGATATACACCCTATTACTAAAATGGCACAAACTCCAACTCCACTGACACCAAACCAAATTAGCACTGTTCAATTCACTTACGCTGACATTAACCAAACTATAAGAACCCTCAAAAGTTCAAAAGGTTTCGGTACCGACGGTATATCATCTTACTTCTATAAATATGGTGGCCCTGACATTCCTCTACTGCTGCTTAAAATATTCACAATGTCCCTAGAAACCCAAACTTACCCTGACATATGGAAGACTACATTCATTATGCCTAAACACAAATCTGGCTCGAAAACTGAAGTCAGTA